CCACTAGATGTCGCTGAAAACAACAAATCCTACACACTGTGCCTTTAAGCGTTTTTTGTTAAAGAATTGACTCTAGAGTGCATATTTTGTGTCCATGAAAAAACTATTACAGAAAATATTACAATATTAAAGAACTGTTCTTGTTAATTTGATGAAAACATTTTAAATATCCAGTGCACTCACATCAGAATAACTTTTAGATTTGTTGTTAGAATAATCGATTAAYTGAAAAATAATCRTTAGATTAATCGATTAGAAAATAATCGTTTGGTACARCACTAGTCTGCATACCAAAAATCTAAACATTTCAATGTTAAGGGATTTTCAGTGAAATATTTCTAGACATCTGGCTGTGGAGGTTAAACAGTAAAAAGTAATGTCATTGCTATCTGTTGGCAACTCCATATCTAACTAAAACACCAGTGGGTCATTTATTAACCAAACCCACTCGTTTTGTAACTGAATGTCTTTGCATGATATCCCTATTGGTAGCACGACAAATATACAAAGTGACATATTCAACAAGTTGTTTGGGTTATTACTGTCTATGTTTGCTTTATCTGTTATTACTGTCTATGTTTGCTTTATCTGTATTAAGATTCAGCCTCATTTATAGGAAAAATGCAGGACACATGTTTTCCAAATTCAGCTGACCATCAAGCTGTTTACTACTTTGCATACTTGGGGTTGATGTTCCAGGCACAACATGCAGAAAAGGTCAAAAAGAAAGATGAGTGTAGACTATTGCATCGACATCCTTACAATTATTTTTTTTGCATGAATGGAATAGACTTGTGTGCATCAATGTATCTCATAGTAAAAAAAAACCATTTGTGGCATCAGTTCTGAAATTCAATGGAATATCTTTAAAGAAATAAACTTGTCAAGTCTACCACTTACTATATGTAAAAATAAATTGTAACTTGGTTCTGTTAAACGCTGCAATTACTCATGGTTATCCCCAGTGAGGAAGCAATAACAGCCTGTTATGTTTACTGTACTATGGATCTGTTTTAGATCACGGATGTTACCCTTCTGCATAAAATGTGCTCTGGATGTCTTTATTATGCAACTGCAGCCAGTCAGGATGTTTTTCTGCATTTGGGTCCACCAGGCTCCAGGAACTTCAGCAGAGAATTGATTTTGTCTTGTGCATAAGAAATCTGATTTTCCACAATTAAGATCGAGGATTAGAGCAATCTCTTTACCCACAAACAACATCCTGAGCAGAGCTGATTGGGTTTAGTGTAAATGATTAATGGCTGCAAATGTTTTCTTTTGGTAGGACTGAGGAAATAGTTTTAAAACGTGCTTTGCTGATTTTAATATATAACCTTTCTGCTCATTTAAAAAAAGCAATAGGTGACTGATTATCGCAAACTATACAGCCTAGTGGTGCAACTCACTGTGCTAATAATAGATAACTTTTCAGTTTGTATGAAGTAATAAAAACATCTTTTCTCAGGATGATATTTGTCAAGTTTGTTTTCATCAAGCACAGTTTTTTAAACCTGTCGGTGCTTTTGTCCCCCTCTGTCTGTTTTTCAGGTTTATTCCACCTCCCCTTCCCTCCACCTCAGCTTCCCAACCCATGTTCCCCATTGGCCACAGTTCCCAGAGGGTGGAGACAAGCATGGGTTAACACGACTGAGGCAAAACGCTAAGGACAACACAAGCTGAGTGCACCACTCACCTGCACAGGTAAGATTGTGCATTATGTGCTTTTAAAAAGGGTGCTGKACCTGCATTGTTTGTTTGGGGGACACAGTTCTACAYGTTGAAGTTTTTGAAAMCTAGATTATTGATGTATGAAAACRCMAACATGAAGCTCATTTATTTGTTTGGTATATAGTGATTCACGCACATACACATACACACGCCTTTAACCTGCCGTTGTTCCTGGGTTCCTCATGCCCATCCCCCCCTCCCCCCATCCAACAGGTGAAAACTCTCACCACTTTACCTTTTATCTGATGGAAACCACAGTATTCAAATACAGTCTTGTGTTGTCTGTGTGGGTACTTTCACATCCAGGTGGCAGTGACTCTGTGGTAGTGCACTCAGGTTTTCTTACTGCTGTTGAAGTGCTGGGTGCTTAACGGAGACATGTTTCAAGTTATTTCCCCACCTCATTAACATACAGCTACAGTGAAGGTTGAATATTTAATGTGTTTAGTTTAGTTTAATTTAGTTTAGTTTAGTTTAGTTTAGTTTTGATCAACAATATGCATGTTAGGTTGTGATCTCAATGGGATTTGCCTGGATAAATGAATGGTAATATATGATAGCACTCCTTGTGAAAGCAGGCAATGCATAAACTAAGGTTACAAAAGGACAGGTGTTTAGTCAGCAAAGTCTGAATTAGAGGAAATATTTTGACAGAGCTTAAAATATTTCAGTTGTTGAACTGAAAGGAAGCGTGCACAATGAAAACCAGAGTCAGACACAGGAAACCAGTCCAGTGCTCAGCCCTGAATCTTCATTCACACAAACATAAATTGTTACAGTGCTGTGGTTCTTCCCATCCGAGGGCACAAAAGGGCCCCCAATCACAAATTCTTACAATAATTTATATAAGATCTGGACACACCCTGGATATGATGTCCTAGTAAACAAGGACATAACTTTAAAACAGTTCTATATTCCTGCTGGAGTGAGGCAAATGTTAAGTGGGCAGTGTAAAAACAAAAAAAAAATCTTACTTTCTGTGCTTATAAAACGTTTTTGGTAGCGCAATAAGATTTAACCTTTACCAAATAGTTCATTAACCACAGGACAAGTTTTAAAGAAAGTCCCAGAAAGTAATCATTAAATGTGCGTCCAAAACTGATGCCTGATTCAAGATGGCCACCACAGCTGAGTGATTGTAGCCGATGCAAAAAGGGTTAAAGCTCAGTGACGTTTACAGATATTAAGATAACGTTTGGTGTGGTTAGTTGATGAAACTCATCACCAACACAGTGTGCTAACAGATCATGTAGCATCTTTGTTGAAAACTTCAGCATGCAAAGTGGAGGGCAGTGAATTCCTTCAAGGATTGCTGCTGTCATTTATAATGTTTTTATCTTTTACTGTTTTAGCTCTTTGTTGGCTGTAAACATGTCGTCTCTGCCTRCCTACTGTCAGCCTAACATGTTTTCTCAGGGAGCTATATGTGCTGTCTGAACATGTCGTTATTTATAGTACTGTACTGTGCTCAACATTAGAGCACTTAAAGTGACAGAGCCTTGAGGTTACCACCTTTAAGCTATTCAGCAGTTACGCTAAAATGAGCAGCAACTTTGAGAACTTGCCAGAGTTATGTCTTGTTTAGTTTTTCTCCRCCTTCTCGGGCTCAGACTGAACCAACAATTTTGTGAACGCCAGCTTTATATTCATTTAGAATAAATATTTTGATGCGCTGCTCTGTTTTGTTTTTGTTTTGTTTTGTTTTTTCAAATCAAAAACACCCACAAGTAAAGCTGCAGAATCAACACACTGCAAAGTTAAACTCTACATTTGAAGGAGGGAAAACACATTTTGTGTATTTTGCGAGACATCTAGCCGAAAGATTTTTATTTTTTTTATTTTTTCATATATTCATCCTGTGGGGTTATTTATCCTGAAGCTGGGTCTCATGTTCAGCTTTTTTTTTCTCAACAAGCCTACCTTCTACTTGTTTCCCAGAAGTCTTCATGTCTGTGTGGGATGTACTCGAAGGGGAAGCTTAATTATCCACGAGAAAAAGACAGGAAGAGGAGTGTCCTTGCTCGTCCCTTTTAGTAACCTACCACCAGTGTCCTTATCTCTCGTTGCTCCCACATTTAAACCATTTAATCAAAGCCCATTTGAGCAGATTTAAAGGAATCTGGATGGACGATGGAGGCCGTGCAGAGAGGAGTGGGATGACTGAGGCATATGGAGCACAGAGGACAAACAGGAGTAAAGCAGTGCTGAGTTGTTGCTAGGAGGCTGAGAAGGAAAACACAGGAGCTCAGAGGACATGAACTCAGCTGATCAATTTTAACTTCTTAAAAAGCACTTTTTAAAACTGGTAACTAAATATCTAGTTATCTTTTCACTTCATATTTCTCTGCTAGCATTATTTTGAACAGCGTGGGGTAAAGGGTTTGTTGTACAGATACGATAAAGGTATACAGTATTTTCTGTTGTGAGTTGCAGTCAGCAGTATGACTCAGATTCTCTGTATTTGCATTCCTTGAATCAACGGTCCTGCTTGACGAGCTGCCAGCATGACTGTTTATTTCTTTTTATCCCAGCAAAGTAAAAAAAATCATCATAACATCTGTCAGATGTTCAGACTGAGTTTATCCTTCCGTCTGTTTTACATAGAAAACWGTTAGAAGTTTATTTCCCAATTAAATGTTAAGTTCAGTTGAACATGTGCTTCTGGTGTTTTATTATCCATGAAGCAGTTTGGTCCAAACAGGTTCTACCACAATAATTTCACTTATTGAAATGGTAAGGGCCCGTTGGAGCCCCGAGAAATGATCCGACCATGAACATCCGTATGTGTGACCCTGCTGGAACAGCAACCTGAAGCAGAGTCAGACCTCCTGAAAGGCTGCTTTGTTGTCCTCCAGCTCACATGTTGTCCTCATGTCTTGTTTTGGTTTACTTGATGCGGACCAGACGTTTTTAATACGTACGCACTTTTTTAAACACATGGCTTTCATGAAACGCAATATTTACTAGTCATCGTCCTCATTCACCCTATTCTGTCTAACACTTTATAACTGTATTACTGTAATAGAAATCAAGCAAAACTTTTTTTTATTTATAACTTAATTGATTTTTGTTTTGTGTACTTTAATTTGCCTTCACTGGCAGTTTAGGCATAAAATCTAGTGTGATGTAGTTTATCTTATCAGCTGCTGTAAACATGAATGCATCAACAAACTGCATTCTTGTAAGTTAAGCTGGATGATTAACTGGGATAAAAGAGCTGTAAATGTTAAACAAAGAGTGGTTATTTGACAAATAACTGGTTTAGCCATGTTGGAAAACACCACCCCCCACTAACGTCTTTAAGAAAGACAATGATCTTCAGCTGTTGATGTCTTTTTCATCACTGAGAGGTTTTGTGACTTCAGTGCAGAGGTTTTATAGTTTGCTGCGAGGGTGTGTCAGAAGATCAAAGCTAAATGTCCTGTCGGTGGTCTCATTTCTCAGACAAGAACACGCACAGGATATTTAGCTTCTCTGAAGTTTCTTCCTGATAGCTTTGGGTAAATACAACCTGTTTTCAACAGAAATTTGCACCCTGAAGCGTATGTGTGAAAGCAGTTTTGTGGTTGTAAAAGTAGGCATTTCAGAGAACTGCGGCCCACATCCTGCAGCAGAGTCTGTGGTTCAGGTCCCTGCTTCCCAGGACATGGTTGCACATCATAACCTGGCTCTTACGACTGTTTTACTGCCTCCATCATCTCTAAGTTATGAACGTACAACGGCATAAAATGAAAATTAAAAAAGATTGACTTGTTGTTCTCCACCAGCTGTTTCATAATCAAAAAAGTTTCAATTCTAAATTTTCATTTTGTGTGTGTGTGTGTTTTTGTTTCAACCCAGGTGGTGTCTAACGCAGCCCTGCCATGGCGCTGCTGAGGAGGAAGTTAAAGTTTTGTGTCATGGTGGTGATGATCAACCTCTTCATCTTCATTCTCATCGCTCGAAACAGCGGGCAAGATAAAAATGGGCTCAACAAGCTCCGCATTCCCTCCAAAGCCTTCTGGGCCAAACTGGTCCCCAGCCCTGCCTACTGGAACCGCCAGCAGCAGATCCTGGACATTCAGAACAGTCCCATCTTACTGGCAAACTCCAGCAGCGCAGACATTCCTGACTGGATCAATGACACTGTTTTGACCTCTGACCTCTGTCAGCCTGATTTAAAAGTTACCACTCAGGTGAAGGACTACAACTCCCTACCCAATCGCTTTAAGGACTTCCTGCTTTACATGCGTTGCCGTTCCTATCCAATCATACGGGACCAGCCGGAGATCTGCAAAGAGCCGCCGTTCCTGCTGCTGGCGGTCAAGTCCCTCGCGCCGCACTTTGATCGCCGCCAGGCCATTCGTCAGTCCTGGGGACGAGCAGGGGCCATGGCCAATAAAACGGTGGTCACCGTTTTCCTTCTTGGCAACACCACATCTGTGGACCACCACCCAGACCTGTCCGAGATGGTGCACTACGAGAGCAGCCGCCATAGAGACATCATCCAGTGGGACTTCCGGGATTCGTTCTTTAACTTGACCGTCAAGGAGGTCCTGTTTCTGGAATGGATTCAGGCTCGCTGCGCCGGCGCTCAGTTCATCTTCAAAGGGGACGACGACGTCTTCGTCAACACGTACCGCATCTTGAACTTCCTCAAGGGCCTACCAGAGCCCAAAGCCAGAGACCTGTTTGTCGGCGACGTCATCACAAACGCAGGGCCTCACAGAGACAAGAAGGTGAAGTACTTCATCCCAGAGAGCATGTACGTTGGTACATACCCTCCGTACGCAGGAGGAGGCGGCTACCTTTACTCCGGAGACGTCGCCGCTCGCCTCCTCAACGTGTCGCGGCATGTGGCGCTCTACCCAATAGACGACGTCTACACCGGGATGTGTCTCCGAATGCTGGGGCTGGCCCCGGAAAAGCACAAAGGCTTTAGGACCTTTAACATTGAGGAGAAGTACAGGTCGAACCCCTGTGCCTACAAGAGTTTAATGCTGGTTCACCCCAGGACCCCGCAGGAGATGATCCTGATCTGGTCCTGGCTCAGCAGACCCGACCTCTTMTGCCAATAACAGCATTATGGGTCGTTCCCAAAAGCCAAATTGAGAAATATTTTCTCCTGAACAGAGTCGTGACCTAAAACATGGCAGCTTTAAGTTAGGACTGTTTTACGATGGGTCACTTGGAGCCTCAGCTTGGAACACGTGTGCTGTAGCATAAAATGGAAAGATGCAACGTTGGCTTCACTCGAGTTTAGTGTTTTAATTTCCTCAAAGTCGGGCTTTACTGTCAACCAAGCTTTACTCACAGGGAATGTCTTCGTTTTTTGTTTTGTTTTTGTTTTTGAAACAGGTATTTATCACAACTATTTATGCAGGCTTTGTTGTTCTTTTTACACTGTGTGTCTGCTCCACTGCGGAGGGTCTCGATGCTGTATCTGATATTTTAGGGTTAAAGAAACAACTTTGAAGTGTCCACCGTTGATGGGAGCATGTAGAAGCAGATATTTTTGCAGCATTATTAGTTTTTCACACAAATTTTTATTTTTTATTTATTGATCTTTTTTCCAGCTTCTCAAGCCTTAAAAAAAGGTTTCTGGTGAACACTTCTCGGTGATCGTTAGTTTGTGCTGCTACTACCGTCCAAACTCCCTGAAGTATTTAGTGGTGACACACTCCAAGGTCAGCTGAACTAGTTTCTCGCTCATTGAAGGCTTGTACCTTTTAATTACAAATTATTTATTTATGCTCTAAAAGTAGTGTTTTGAAAATTTTGAGGCGTCACTTCATGCGTTTGTATTTATTATCGTCTATCTTATGTCGGAGTTRTCACGGAGCTTTGAGGTGGATGGACTGAGCACAGAATTGGCTTTAAGGACCAGAAAGAACCTGTTCAGCTCAGCAGGTCTGGGCTTGAAGAGATCCAAATGCTGTCTAATCCTGCTTTGCACAAAATGGAAAACRACTCCCGGTTTCTCAAATGTAATTTGTGTTGAGCCTTTTTTTTTCTCCCTCTCTTTAAAGCAGAGCTGCGACTCTACATGTAGACTCACGGGTGTCTGCGATCATCATTAAGTGTTAAACGCTGCTTTAGTGTGAAATTAGTGCTTCAAAGCGAAATTCTTCCRGACGCAGGTGTGGAAAGCATATCCAAGTTGCTTATTTTAGTGTCTAAACAAAGCTGTCTTTGTTTTGCTGGGGATCATGAAAGCATCATTTCAAAATGGTCCAGTGGCTTCAGCGAGAATTCGGTCCTTCATGTCACACAATGTTTATTTTAAATGTGTGATCTGAGAAACTATAACTGTGTTTCTAACACATTTAAAGCAGATCTACCTTTTTTTTTCCCCTCCACAAAGAAAAGAAACCTGTTTCAGTATTTTAGTCCCTTCATGTTTAGTTTTAGTCCTGGCTGCTTCGGAAACAGGTGTGTTGAATTAGGAAGAAGTTACGTCTCAGTTAGAGCTCCCCCTGCTGGACAGGGTTGTAAAAGCTAAGTCTGAACCWAAACTATCACTCAAGACCTAATTTATTTTTACCATCTTTATTTTATTTTACCGTTTGACTTCATCTACTCTTTAAAGGAAGACCTATAGGATTTGTGATGTTGCTTTTAGTCTTCTCTAAGGACAGAATAATGGGAAATGCCTCACGGTTACAGTCAGTTGAGTTATTACTCTGTGTTGTATTCACCCTCATGAGGCAGAATCCATCAGTCTGCGTGTGTTGGATAAAACAAACGCTAAATAGGAATCAACATCATTCTCTTGTATTTAAATACTTCTATTTAAGTTTTATAATGACACTTTTGTGGCCTTTCACTGCTCATGTACCAGTAATATTTTACATTCTCACTGCACACAGTTTGTGGTGACTTCAGATGTTTACCTGTGGTTTGTGTCATTTTCACCCAAATTTTAATAGTTTTCGTTTGCCTTTAAAATGCGTTTCTTGTCTTCACGTGCTGCTGCTTTATGTGCTCGTTTGTAATGTTTTAAACGGACCTCTCTCTGTATTGTGCTTCACATTGTACCACTTTTGTTTTTGAATTCCTTTGTTATTCTTTGTGGAACTCTCTTTGATCCCTCTGCTGCTCCTGCCTCTGCTGTCTTATCTTTTTTAAACTTCTTTTGTTTCCTTTGCAAAGGATGCTTTTTTTTTTCACCCCAGCCAAGACAAAAATCTTTTCAAAAACATTAAAAAAAAGTTTGTTATTCAGCTGAATGAATGGCCCAGTTAGTTTTGTCTGTTTAATATTTATTCTGATGCTTTTTGTTAAACCAGACCTCAAACACATTCTGGGCACATTTTTAGTCTGTTTCCTGTTTCGTCCTGAAACTTACTGTGGTCCAAGACGATTCCCACATCACCTGGTGTGTGTGTGTGTGTCATGTGTGTATGGTGTGTGTGGAAGTATGATGGTTTGAACTATGGCATATTTCAATAAAGTTCTATTTTGTTGTTTTTGTAAATGGATTTCTCTTCTTTTCATTGTCAAATGCTGAAAGTGAAAGGGTGATGATGCCTGGAAGGATTTGACTGAAACTCGACTRGATGTTTGTCTTTGGCAGTTAACTTAATATAATATATAATATAATATAATATAATACAGTATAACCATCAATACAGAAATGACTAAAGCTCAGTCAGTTTACAGATAATGTCAATATTTAACTGTTTATAAATGAAGACTTTATTGTGCTTGACATACAGTATAAATTATTTGAAAAGGTGAAGGATATTTATTTAAAACATCCTAAAATTCTCCATTATTGTAGCTCCCATTCCACAGTTAAGAACTGCTTTCTAAAGTGAAACTATGAGCTTTTACTTCAACTTAAGCAGAAACAAATCCCAAGTTTTAAATTAAAAACATAAGTTCCCAGTTTCCAATGAATAATTTAAATGACTGTGTTGCTCATTTTGCTGCTTAAATAAATAGCTATAAAATTACGTAAATGAAAAAATGAGAATAAAAATTAGTTGGAAGTTAATATACAGTAGTTTTTCACAATCGCTTTTCCAAGATTGTATTGAAATGATTTATTATATATATATATATATATATATATATATAATGTATGCTTGAATGCATGCATGCATGCAAGCAAGCAATTCTTGGGTAAACATTTGAGTTTTTAAGAAATATTTAAGGGTTCAGGGTGARTTTCAAACAGCAACAATGACAGACAAATTAGATCAAGCAATAAATGTTTGTAAATATTAGTTCATTTGTCAAGTAGCAAAAAATTCCGCTTACATGTTAATTTTTTACCTGCTTGWAGCCATATTATTATTTACTCATTATTTAATAGGTTGATTGTCACAGTTCTATGATGGACTGGATACCAAAGCTATAAATATTTTGTTTAAAAGAAATAACCAGGTGATTTTACATGTCATACAGGTGATTTACCGCTAGAGGGCAGCAGTGCATAAACGACCAAGCGTTGTAATATGTCCCTGTTCTTTTAGAACCTCATTGAAACGACATACGGAGGTCTATACAACAACGACTTTCTGTTTTAATGTTGGGCCTTCTGTGCAGCTTCATGAGCAGATTTAAAAACACAAGTTCTGATCACAAAGTTAAAACAGGAAGTCATTACTCTGAGTCTGAGTACATTAGCCAAAATTGCTTTGAATAGAGACAATATTGTTTATATTTTTGCTTATAGATTATTTCTTTAGTTTCAGCTGATATAKGTTGGATGAAATAATTGTTTAAAAAATGTGTACAAAAATGAAGACCTGTTTTCACCTGGAGCTTCATTTCTTGGTTTCACTTGGTCACATGAGGATAACTTGAAGAGGAGGCAGTTGTCAAGACGACCGTATCCCTACGGTGCGTGAGTGCAAACAAAACATCCAGTGTGTGTTCCTACAACAATCTGCTGATGATGATGATGATGATTACATGGCCTTTACTGTGAGAACTTTTTTTTACTTAGTTCTTTGTTTTTTAGTGAATTTAGTGAATCAGAGTTTCTTTAATTTTAAGTTTATGACAGATCATGTTGCAGAGGTTTTACATCAACAGATATTTTAGCTCCGGTTCTATGTGACAAATCATTGACCCTACGACATGTCATCCTGTAAGTGATGCAGGTTTTTATYCTTCCTCTTCCGCTGAGGCTCCACTGCTCCATCCTGTAGGTGGAGATTCGTCCTCAGGAAGATTTCAGCACTTTGGAGACTCGAGGGTGTCCCGTCCTGCCATGACTTCCTGTTGAAGCTCCTAAATTAATCCAGCTACAAGGACATTTATGTCCCAGCAGGGAGACGTCAGCACCAGCTGTATGACACCACACAAACGACAGGGTCGAACCAAAAAAAGAAAGTTTAGCCACATGCAGGCAAGTTCCAAACCATTTTTTTCTTGTGTGATTTAGCTTTAAAAAAAATAAAGAGCTCTAATTTTTTTTTCAAACCTCACATGTGACTACTGAACGTTTGCTGAGATTTTATTTTTAATGAAAGTTGCTTTTGTATAACTGTTTGTGTGTTGATTTTAGTTTTCTGTCTGTTAGCAAAATATCTCATCAGTCACTAATTTTTTTTAAATAAAAATCTCAGAAATTATTCACTGGATTCATATCTACAACTGATTAACTTTTGCAGTTATTCTAATTAAAGATGGCCGCCACAGCTGATCAAATTTACAGAACACATAAAAGGCTACAACTCAGAAAATTTGACAGAAATTGGGCTTAAATTTGGTGTGATAGTAGCTGAGAGTCAAAACTAACGCAGACTCTGAGCACTAAAAGATTAAATAAGGTTTTATTTTTCTTATACATTTTTCCATTACCAATTAAAGCCAACCCTGTCTGTTAGCAAAATATCTCATGAACCTGTGATCACGTTTTTAATGAAAGGCTCAGAAAATAATCCCTGGTTAATCCTCTGCAACTGATTAACTTTTGGACTCAATCTGATTCAAGATGGCCACCGCAGCTCATTGACCTCATCCTCCACAAAAATGTCTATAACTCTGTAAATTTTACAGATACTGAGTTATAATTTAATCTGGTCATAGTTGAGAGTCATTTACAGCATGCGCTCTTAGTGCTACTAGATTTTATGAGGTTTGGTAATATTGCTTGAAATGCAATTTAATGTTATTTTCAAGAATTGATCAAAATGTTTAGAACTCCATCATTTCTCAACATAAGATGATCTCAGTCAAAAATACATACTTTCACCTCCTGTATAAAAACACATGTTTTCAGTAGGATCCAGTAATAAGCCCAGCAGAGTTTTTTTTTACATTAATAATTAGTTGGGATTAAAGAGGTCCTACTGTTTATTTCAGGTGTTTTCAGAGGCAGCAGGATGATGAATCTTTTCCAWACAGAGCCAGTTTGTTCACATCCAACCACAGATGGATCCACATACTGCAGCTGCTTTCTAACTGATCTTGAATCTTTCTAAATGATCCCACCTGGAGCTCCTGGATGCAGACTAAATCCCTCCAAAGAGCAGACATTTATAAAAGCTGGTTTTTGATTAGCACGAACCAGATTCCAGCAGAGACAGTCCCAGCACATTTTACTGGTTTCGAACTGTTGAACTTGATCCAGGCCCACATTATGGATGTTCTGATGAGGTTCGGTCTGCTTTAGTTCACCATCTCTGTTTGATGATGGCTGCATCAGTAAATATGTATTCCTGATTTTTTTTAAATAAAAAAACAAAATTATTGTGAAAGATTTAAAAGAACGTTTGAAAGATTTCCTTGTAAAAAAAAAATCAATCCTTGTTTGAATTGAATGGAGGAAAAGTCTGAGCTGAAGTTCTCAGAAGCTAATTAGGCTCCACCTCCATAACTGTCCTTCACAATGAAGACAAATCTGCAGGTCATCACCAAACCACAAACTCTTTTATTACACAACAAATWATCAAAGCTGGTGGATGAGACAAAACCTTCGCATTCAGCCGGTGCCTGAAAGATAAATGGAAAGAAACTATCAAGTGACTAATTGGATCCTGGTGGCTGGTTCTGAATCCTGCAGCACTCTGCTAACATCATTTATCACACAGAAACTAGCAGGCCGCAAGATCAGTCCAGCTGCACCTCCAGGGAAAGAAAAGTGGGAAAAAAGAGGAAAAATCAAACAGTTAAATATGTGACTGCACGTGTTTTATTAAACCTAATCATGGATGTGAAAATATATCTTCAGTACAGACAATGCTGAGAAGAGATGGCTCAGTTGGTTTGGTTTGGTTTGGTTTGGTTTTGGTTTAATTTGAATTGTTTGCATTTGTGGATCAGAGCTTTTCTTCCATTCTCAAAACTAACACATCCTGACTGACTCAGCTGAGTTGTGGTGTACCTCAGGGATCAGTCCTCGGTCCATTTTTCTATTTACAGCATCCTCTTAGCCAGCTCATTCRAAACAATAACACACWTARCTAAACTAAGYACAAAAAGTAAGGAAATTTGTGTTTGGTAGATTATTTCTTTGTTGTAACAATGCTTGTTGACAWTWAATCTCATCATTGGAAAGTCTGTTATTTCCCTTTTAAATAGTGTCACATTTGTAAGGAACACGTATTTGTGGAATGAGCAGTAGAGCTGAGTATGTTGGTTGTTTTGAGCTTCTGCTTATTGCCAAGAAGCATTTTTACAGCAAAGAAATAATCTAMCAAACACAACTTTCCTTACTTTTATCTGAATAGATGACACTCGTCTCTATAAACATATAAATATTTGCTTATTTTACTGTTTGTTCTCTGTTTAATACACCAGTCTGGAAGCTGCAGGGCAGGGTGTGAAGCGCCTCGTTTGGGTTTAAAGAGACAGCCTCAAAACGAGTGGATCTGAGACGGCTCAGAAAAGTGGTGAAAGAGGGGTTTGTGGAGTTACAGTAAGAAGGAAATCTAACCAAAGCATTGCAGTTCCACTTTATATAGACCCCAACCGGATGATTTACCGTAAATGTAAAAAAAAGAATGTGAAAATAATTTAGGCACCTCACATTTTCCCCACATACGCAAATCCTTCCTAATGATGCGTCTTCATGCTTCAAGGGAAAACAGTCCAGAGCTAAAGTCTGACTGAAACACAGTCGTATATTCTTCTCTGCAGAAAAGTTGGAAAGTTTTTCCGCTCCGCTTCTTTTTATTTTTACCCCAGAATGGAACCATGAAGCCGAGGAAACATTTGCTCACAGAGTGAGGAGCTTTTTCCAGTGAACTTCACGGTGACGGAGTCTCAACTCTGACAGAGTGAGACAGTTTTGGTTGTTTATACATCCGAGAACTAAATTTAAACTGGACGTGAATTATCCCCATCAAACAAGAAAAAACTTCAGAAACCTTTTCTCCAGCRCCACTTAAAATAGTTACAAGAAAAGGTTTTAGCTCATTACAGTAAATTTGTGTAAATTAGTGCCATTTTTGTGTTTGTCAATCTTCAGCCAGTCTTTTATTGGGTTGACTCCAAATGTGAATCACTTGTAGATGTGC